TTTTTTTGTAGGAAAATACTTTTTACTCTAGGGTAAATATTCCCCCATTGTTCCTGTGTGGAAACAGCAGAACAGCACTAAGTCTCCTGTAACAAGTTGGTACGTTTATAAGCTTTCGTGCCTCATGCTTAATTTTGTAATGCAATTAAAAGATTTTATTGAAGAAACATTGTGGATTCTTCTTTTGGACGTTTTCATTGATTGTAGCACTTTTCTGTTTCTTTTCGGTGGGAGCTCTGCTGGAGGAAACAGAGAAACAAACTCAGGTGGTCTGATATTAATATTTATACCTCAAAAGACTGAGTGGCACTAAAGTTAAATAATTACCCAAGGAACCTGGATAATCTGAACTATAACTCTATTCAGTCTGTAAACTGGAAGTATATGTAAACTCTACAGACATAACAGTTTCATTTCCTCTCAGATTCAGACTAAACCTTTTCCAGCTCAGTGTTGGGCTTTTATTAAAACAGGAAGGCAACAGCAGCACTCCTTGGCTGGAAAACTAAACACTGTTCTGGAGATAAACAGAACTGACTGAGTTTTTTTTTAATTTATTTACCAATTTGCATCTCTAATAATTGAACTAAGAGTAATTTAAAAAAGTGGAAAAAAAATAAGTAATTTCCCTCTGGGATTATTGCAGTATTTCTGATTCTGAATTTCACACTGGAGAAATTCACCTCTGCGTTTAACCCATCCCCTTGGGGAGCAGTGGGCTGCCATTGTGCAGAGCTCAGGGAGCAGTGTGGGGTTAAGGGTCTTGCTCAGAGACTGAGAGTGCAGGCTGTGGGAGTAGGGCTTGAACTGAGAACCTTTGCACAATGACCTAACCACTAGGCCACCCGTCCCCCTAATTTCTGACCCTTTAAACCAACAAATGACTCAGCTGCTAGGATTATGTTTTTTATTCAATAAAAAATAAATGAATACTTATGATAAAAACAACCATTCCTGGTGAGGAAAAGGTAAGGACTTTCAATATGCAATTTCACATAAAATGTCAAAAGTACCCCAAAGGGATATCATTTCAGATCATGCCATCATTGGAACAGCTGCATGCACTTTGGGGAATAATAAATACCGGTAAATGCATAATCGTTGGAAATTATAAAATGGCATTTCAACTGTTTTTAAATCTGTTTTTGTTTTACAGCTGGGCATTGTCTACAAAACAGGAATGCATTGCTGTTAAAGCAGACAGCGTTTAAATCAAGGTGGTGATGTATGCATTACCAAACCTCCCTGCCTTAAAGGAAACTCTGCTCTTTTGTCACTCTTAGTCCATGTAGGACCACAAATCACAGGTCAAACAATAAACAAAGAAAAGGTAATAAAACCAACCCCAGAGATGAGGTATGAAGACAAAGAGGTAATAAATCAAATGATTAAATAGGAATTTTCCACATACTTTTCTCTCCAACCTTAATTCTTTTGATGGATCACCCCCTAGTGGTCATATAATGGAATAGAAGTTTAAAAGCTGTGTATGGTGGACTATTCTTTAAAAGGGATTTATTGAATCAATCAGTTAAACTGATTGATAGATTAATTGATTTATTAAATGCAGTAGTTTAAACTGGAACAAACTGTGCTTCTTCCAGTTATTTACTTCGATTTTTTATATTTTTTGGCTGTGTAGATTTAATCATTAACAACTTAAACATCTTTTTAATTTTTGTTGCGAGTTTGGCGTATTACTGATGTTCCACTACACTGCATCCTAAAGACAAAACAGTGTGTCCGTGCTTATCCTGCTCAGTATCCTAACACCTTCTTCTCAAATAGGTTCATAAAATATATTGTATATCTAA